AGCAATGTGCCCTCATCCCACCATCTGATCCCTGCGCAGAGTCCCACTGCAGTCAGAGGCACGGGAGCCCACTCACATAGATCAGATTTCAGAGTAGCAGCCGTGTTAGTCTGTATCCGCAAGAAGAACAGGAGTACTTGTGGCACCTTAGTACTTTGTTAGTCTCTAAGGTGCCACAAGTACTCCTGTTCTTCTTATAGATCAGATTGCCATACAAGGAGTGAAGGAGGACATATTGTCTGCAGTTACAAGGATTCTAATGTACCACCTCTTCAATTTCAGCAAAGTAGGACATTTCCCTAACAGCAGTGATTACATGTTCACCGGCCTACCTGATATAATGGGAATAGATGGCACAGCATTACAATAGCTTCAATTATTCCCCTCCAGCACAGCTCAGAGTGGTGATGGGTAACTATTCCTCTTCCTCAAGGGCCCTCCCCCTGGGACTCCACAATTCCCCCTTCTACATGAGACCACTTGGAGAGATGGCCATGGAGCCCTAACAATATGCCGATAACTCTCCACTGTCATTTTCTACTGACACGAACAATACCACACTACCAAGAGGTCAAAATGCCTATGAGATCAGCTCCTGGGATGAAGGGCAGCTGCCTCAAACTCAGCCTGGGCAAGACCAAAGTGTTGCTACTTGGAATGATGAAATACCCAGAGGAACCATCCAAGGCCTTGTCTCTGACCCACCCAATGGTCAAAGTAGCACAAAGCCTTGGGGTTCCATTTGACTTATCGATGTGTGGATATGACCAGATAGCATCAGTGACAAAAGAAGCCTTCTTCCACTTCCAGCTCACAAGGACACTCCACCCTTTCTCTCCCAGACAAGGACCTGGCCACAATGATCCATCCATTTGTCGCCTATAAATGTCATCACTGTATATGATGTTGAACGGGGAAACAATGCACAGGCCTAATTCAGCTGCCTGCGTCCTCCAAAGTTTAATGTGCTCATAGCACCTAAACATGTGCGCCAGTCCCACCACTGACTCTGTCAAGGCTGATTCCCCACTCTGGCACTTCGAGTGCAGAAGGTGGGGGCCTGCAAGGATTCTAAAAATTAATACTGGCCACTCCAGGCTGGTATTAACCTCCCAAGGTTACAGCTTTTCTCTGTCCTTGGATGTGTAGATGCTGCCACCACCCAGTGCAAAAACCCCTTTGAGAGACCAGGAAGGCGCATTTGGGAATTCCTTCCTGTGGGGTACCCTCAAGCCCTTTCACCCCCCCTCCGGGGAAGAGCTGAGAAAGAAAACAAAGGAAATCAGCTGTTGCCACCAGCTAATTAAACATGTGCACAAACTTGTTAGGACACAAAATCCAGTCCTGTTCTTAAAAAAGGTAAATTTTATTAAAACAAACAAAAAAATACATTTAAAAACTCAGGTTATTGCTAAATTTAAAAAACCCTCTTATAAAAATTAAACATCAAGAATAACCTTCTTGAAGTCCATCTTAAAGATTACAAGCAAAACAAAAGCATTTGGGGTTAGCACAGAGGAGTCCACAAGCCATAAAGAAATAAACAAAGATAAACCTAATAGCGTCTTCATAGACAGTTCCCCATCTACTTACGTATCGGGGGTTTTAAATGAGTAGTTTCTAGGTATGATTTGATGATTTTTCATACCTGGCCCAAGCTTTTACAGCATAGCTACTCTGTCCCTTCTCTCCTGGAGAACCACCACAGACTGACAACGGGGAAGTTTTTTCCCCCAATTTTAAAAAGGTCGAGCCTTTCCATTGGCTCTTTTGGCCAGGTGACCGCTTAGAGTCATAGACTTTAAGGTCAGAAGGGACCATTATGATTGTCTAGTCTGACCTCCTGCACAACGCAGGCCACAGAATCTCACCCACCCACTCCTGCAACAAACCCCTAACCTATGTCTGAGCTACTGAAGTCCTCGAATCATGGTTTAAAGATTTCAAGGTGCAGAGAATCCTCCAGCAAGTGACCCGTGCCCCACATTGCAGAGGAAGGCGAAAACCCCCCAGGGCCTCTCCCAATCTGCCCTAAAGGAAAATTCCTTCCTGACCCCAAAAATGGCAATCAGCTAAACCCTGAGCATGTGGGCAAGACTCACCAGCCAGACACCCAGGAAAGAATTCTCTGTAGTAACTCAGATCCCACCCCATCTAACATCCCATCACAGGCCATTGGGCATATTTACTGCTAATAGTCAAAGATCAAGTAATTACCAAAATTAGGCTATCCCATGATACCATCCCCTCCATAAACTTATCTGGCTTCAAGACTAAACTTGATGTGTCTTTTGCCCCCACTGCTCCCCTTGGAAGGCTGTTCCAGAACTTCACCCCTCTGATGGTTAGAAACCTTCATCTAATTTCAAGTCTAAACTTCCTGATGACCAGTTTATATCCATTTGTTCTTGTGTCCACATTAGTACTGAATTTAAATAATTCCTCTCCCTCCTGGTATTTATCCCTCTGATATATTTAGAGAGAGCAATCATATCTCCCCTCAGCCTTCTTTTGGTTAGGCTAAACAAGCCACGCTCTTTGAGTCTCCTTTCACAAGACAGGTTTTCCATTCCTCAGATCATCCTAGTAACCCTTCTCTGTACCTGTTCCAGTTTAAATTCATCCTTCTTAAACATGGGAGACCAGAACTGCACACAGTATTCCAGATGAGGTGTCACCAGTACCCTGTATAACAGTACTAACACCTCCTTATCTCTACTGGAAATACCTCGCCTGATGCATCCCAAGACCACATTAGTTTTTTTCACAGCCATATCACATTGGCGGCTCACAGTCATCCTGTGATCAGCCAATATTTCGAGGTCCTTCTCCTCCTCTGTTACTTCCAACTGGTGAGTCCCCAGCTTATAACAATAATTCTTGTTATTAATCTCTAAATGCATGACCTTGCACTTTTCACTATTAAATTTCATCCTATTACTATTACTCCAGTTTACAAGGTCATCCAGATCTTCCTGTATGATATCCCGGTCCTTCTCTGTATTGGCAATACCTCCCAGCTTTGTGTCATCCGCAAACTTTATTCGCACATTCCCACTTTTTGTGTCAAGGTCAGTAATAAAAAGATTAAATAAGATTGGTTCCAAAACCGATCCCTGAGGAACTCCACTAGTAACCTCCCTCCAGCCTGACAGTTCACCTTTCAGTATGATCCGTTGTAGTCTCCCCTTTAACCAGTGTCTTATCCACCTTTCAATTTTCATACTGATCCCCATCTTTTCCAATTTAACTAATAATTCCCCATGTGGAACCATATCAAATGCCTTACTGAAATCGAGGTAATTAGATCCACTGCATTTCCTTTGTCTAAAAAAATCTGTTACCTTCTCAAAGAAGGAGATCAGGTTGGTTTGGCACGATCTACCTTTGTAAAACCATGTTGTATTTTGTCCCAATTACCATTGACCTCAATGTCCTTAACTACTTTCTCCTTCAAAATTTTTTCCAAGACCTTGCATACTACAGATGTCAAATTAACAGGCCTGTAGTTAGCTGGATCACTTCCCCCTCCCCACCCCCTTCTTAAAAATAGGAACTATGTTAGCAATTCTCCAGTCATACGGTACAACCCCTAAGTTTACAGATTCATTAAAAATTCTTGCTAATGGGCTTGCAATTTCATGTGCCAGGTCCACTCCCTTCTTTTTACCTATAGAGGGAAACTTTTTAACCCTTTACAGGTAAAGCAAGTAGAGAACAACTACTAAGAGGGATTTTATAGCTAACTGGCTGGTTGGGTGTCCATAAAAGGGAGCTACTCCCCCCGCCCCCTTTCATTTATCACAGACTCCCAAACTGCTTCTGCTGCCAGTTCAAAGCCTTGGCCCTGATCTTAAAAGCCACAAACAGATTAGATCCCAATTACATTAGAGACCACATTTCCATCTAAGAAGTGCCTATGTGTGTTTTTAGGAGAGATCAATTATCCTGTGATTTTTCTTACATCGCCCTTCATGGTGGGTAAATCTAGTTTCAACAATCTTCAGCTTTTATGATTGTGTCAAATACTTATATTGGCTCTTGCAATTGTACAACATTTTAGCTTAGTTTAGTCAAACTTCTTAGTTTAATCCTGTTTATACAGGTTTTTCCCTACTACTACTTCTGTGAAGTTAGCTTTAACAGCTGGGATATTACAAATGGTGTTCAATTTTTAAAATATCTCTTGGAAGTAGTGGTTATTTTACAGTATTTGCCTACATTTTCAGCATACTGGAAATCCATGGATTCTTTTCTGTGATTTATTTCCAGTTTGGTTGACTAATAAATGGTGTCTCTTTTAGCAGGATTGTGCATTGTCTTTTTCCTATATGTAGCCATTTAATCTCATCATCTTTGATCCAATCTAATGAACTTAAAAGGTGTTTCACATTTGTCAAGGCTAGATCTTAATTTTTTTTCCCCTCAGAAGCTATAAGATTTAGGCCACGATCCTACAGTAAAAAGCAACAAAGAGTCCTGTGGCACCTTATAGACTAACAGACTTATTGGAGCATAAGCTTTTGTGGGTGAATACTCACTTTGTCAGACGCATGTCAGTGAGCATCCTACAGTGAGCAGCATGTGGGTGTAGGAATCCACTTGTGTGGAACTCATTGCACACGTGACATCTTATGTGGTACTCTTGGTTTCCATATCAAGTTTGAGATGCATGTACGCACTCTTCCATGGGAGTGCTCATGCAATTAAAGCTTTGCATAAGATCGAGCTCAACTTACACAAAGATCCATTTACCTATTTGTGAAGTGTAGGTAGCTCCCTGGTTGAACGCAAGAGCGTATCAACAGCGCAAACAATTCCGTACAGAACAGAAAATGAAATACAGGTTATACAATCAAACAGACCGTAGTAGTCAATATATTCCATTATGAGGAGTCTCCTCTTTAATGAAAGCACTTCTGTTAAATTTAACTTTTGTCTGCCCTCAACTAGTTGGTAACCCAGGGGATGGGGAGGAAGAGGAAAATATTCATTTTTACCTCAGTCACGATGGATGATCCTGAAGAATCATAAACCCAGCCATCTTGACAGGGGGTAAGAGGGATACTGCTCCTGTTGCCATAACCGGTGAAGTTTTCTAAGGGGTTTATGCAGCTGAGGCCAGTTGTGTTCCAGTCCACGTCGTATCTCCTGCACTGACTAGAGAAAGACTCCCCATGTCTCCCCTGCTCTGGAACGGTGTAATTCAGCTCCTCTTCTAGACTCCAGCCACATCGGCTGCTCAACTCAGCAACTCCAGGACTGAGACAGCGGTGTTCGGGAGTGAACCCCAAGAAGACAACACCCACGTAAATAGGGGTGAAGGAGGCAGACAGCAGGCATAAGACAAAAAAGGCTTGCTTCTGGAACAAGTCAAATTCCCCAATATGCTCTAGAATGTCATCCAAGGTTGGCATTTTTGCATATTGCAACTCACTTATAGTAACTAACCTGGTTTCTCTTCCCAACACTGCTATGTATTTTGTTGGCAGCAAAGCTGCTTAAGTAGCAATAAAACATTTGACCAAAAGTCAAAGAGCTACTTTATAAATTATTAAGCTGTGTATTGCTAGCTTTATTTTTTAAGTTAAATTTGAAATCATGCCTAGGCTCACCCGTGAACCATGGGGAATTGCTATTTGACCCCCACCAACCCCCCTAGAATAGATTCTTCTTGGGGTGGGCAGGAAGTGGGGTAGAGGGGCAAATTGTTTGCTCACAAAAAATTAACAGGGCTAATAAAAAGGTCATTTATTTGTCATTAATTACCCAAATCCTTATTAAGGTACTTTGAAATGTTTCCTTCCCTAGCTTGTGCCTTATTACCTTGATTTAGGTAGGGTACTCAACAATATTTCTAACTAAATACATTTATTAGCATGGGTGTGAGAATGAAAAATTTAGGGTTGCCATTGCTAGGCAGCAGACTCTTGAATAGTGCCTGTCCTGACCACAGGCTTTGCAGGGGATATTTAAAATGTGGTTCAATAGAGAAATGCTTTCAAGGAAAAAACAGCTCCCACCTTTGAAGCTGAGCTTTGTAGTGGGGTAGAAATATATGCTCTAAAAAGGCTTGTAGACAGATGCCTGTTTGTGCATTTACCCTCGTCAGGGGTTTCCCCATTCTTCTCTCACCACTTCCTCACAGGATGGGTGCAGGGGGATTGCTGTCGCAGGTGAGGATTTAGAAGACAGGTATTTGCCTTTGGGCTTGTCCTCCAGCACCTGCTCAGGGTGGATCTGGATTGTGGATACAACTTTTTTGCACAAGGCTTTAAAGATTTCAGGAAAAACCTTTGTAGCATTTTTTCCCCCCACGTACTTCTCAAAGCCTAAAGCTGAGAGCTCCCCTTCCTCAGTAGAAGAGTTGTTTGAGTCAGAAGACAAAGAGGTCTTAGGTTTTTTGTCCCTATTCCCCTCCCCAGCTTCTCTCTTTTGGGGGGTTTGGCCTACTTTACAGGCATTGCTGCCCAGCTGTTGTCAGGGGTGGTCTTTTGCAGATTGCTTGATGCAGAGCTTGAGCCCTCTGGATAGGTCTCCCTCAGAGTGGTCCCCTTCAGGTCCCACTCCCCCTGCCCAGGGCTCATTGCTGGAACTCCTTGATTCAAACCAGGAAGGAGAGCTTGATATAAGCCCTGCCTCTCTCCCCAGGGAACTGGGGACTCATTTTAGGACTTTGTGGGGCCCTGAGATGCCTTAGAGATATGGTCTTCCTAATCCTGTTCTGCCCTAGGACTAACCCCTGGGGCTGGATGAAGTTCTCTATTTGTGGAGTCTCTCCCCAATCTGCTTTGGGATCTCCTGATCAGGCTTTTCTGTATTGGAGTCACAACTTCTTGGGGGCAATGGGACACTGAACATGCCTGTCCAACTCAGAGACCCATGCCCTAGCAGTGCAATGGTTGGCAGACTGAGACTGAGCAGGGCACATTCAGCCTCTGAAGAGCCTGTAAAAGCTCCCCCACAGAACACTGCTTGGATTTAGCTCGGTATTTGTGAAGTTGCTCTGCCATGCCTGCAGGGGTCAGTGGAGTCTCACAGGGAGGAGCTGCAGCATTGGCTCCAGGTAGCTGAGACCACCCCACTGCTCTTTACCAGATCCAGGAGAGGAGGAATAAAGGAAAGCTGCTTGCTACTGCCCCAAAACACACAAAAATAAAGGCTGGCAAAGATGAGTCAGGAGCAAAGTGAACCGTGCTTGACTGTTGCCGTAGAGGCAGACGATCTGGGAGCAAGCGGAACAAGAGGGTGGGGCTATGCAACAGCTTTCAATTGCCTCTAAAACTGCAGACAGGAGGGGAACAGACCACATGGATCAGAATTGTGGAAAACGCTGAGCTGCAGCATTTTAAGTTTACTCAGAGGGAAAAAAAACCAAACCCACACCCAATACCTCCTATCCCAGCTAGAGTTTTCACCCCCAAAAGGGAGAAGAGACTGCATGAAGTGCACCGTTGTTTTTACATGGAAGGCGCCCAAACTAAGGTGACAGGAGTCAGTGTAAAATCCTAAAATAAACAGAAATGCTCAATCAATCCAGACCAAAAAAAAAAAAAAAAGAGGCTCTCTGTTCTTTAACTCCACTTCTCCAAGTGGCGGTTTTTGAAGTGACACACAAGATCGAAGACCAATCCACTGCACAGTTTAGGAACTGTGCAGGGAGGCGCAACAGCTTCTGGATTAGTCATTTAAAACAAACCCTTAACTCTGTTTTAGCTATGTGTTTAACAGTGTATTTCTAGAATTTACAGCTTAGAGTCTGAGGGCCTATTTACTTATGCAGCTTTAAATAGGACTCACTTAATATTCACAGGTAAACTCTGATTAGTAGATTATGGTCAGGTGGAATCATTAAAATGATTTAGTCTGACTTCCCGCATAACAGGCCATCCAGTAATTCATGCAGTCCAGCCCAACAACATGTGGTGGAACTAGAGAATACATCTTTTAGAAATATCCGGTCTTGATGACTGAATAATGGAGAATCCACCATATCCCTTGGTAAAATGTTCCAATAGATTAACGACCCTTGCTGTTAGAAATGTGCATCTTATTTCCAGAATCTATTTCCTCCCAAGAATTGGCCTTACACCAATTTTCTTTCTAGATATAAAAGTGTTGTTCAGGTTTGGAATGTGATACTTCCTTACATTTAACACAGCTTTATAGAATACACCTATGTTATGGTTTTATTGGTTTACGAATAGTTATCCATACAGAATCTAGGAGAGAACCCCAAGTCTGAAAAAGAAAATCCATTATTTGAAATCTGCTTATAAATTCAGATGTCTGTGGTGAGATATCTTAAGTTTCATCTTTAGCTTTGCAATCAGAAATATTAACTGTTTCCGGCAGGAAATCTGGAAAGTGACTTTCAGGTTGTCAAACACACTTTTTTAAAAAAAATTGTAAGCAAGAAAAATTTCAGCACTTATTTTAATACATATGGGAATCGTTTGGAATGTCCATTTAATTTATCTTTTATTGAAATTGCTGAATAGTTTATATTACACTAAATTTGATTCAAAATGGAAACTGTTTTATAAAATGAAGAAACCAGTGTTGAAACCAAATAAGCCAACCAAAAAGGTACAAGAAAGAGTTTCAAAAATTCTGACCAATAAGTACCTGTACACGTATATGAAACTGTATTATCGCCCATAAGATAATTCAGAAAACATTGAGAGGAGCAGACTGCTACAGGAAGATTGATATCACCTCCAATAAGTTTTGGCAACATTGTAATTCAGTGACCATTGGCCTCAGGATATAAGACGACCTGGATCTGAGATACTACTGAAAGACGTGGGCCCACCATATTTTATGCAATTAGTACCAAAAACAATACCTGTTTTGCAAATTAAGGCTTCTCTAGGTCTTGGGCTTTTTAAGATGATAGAAATGACAGGATTGTGAATATGGAATTCTGCACCTACGACCTTGAACAATCCAGTTATGTCTGAGCATGCACAAATTCTAGTCCCGTCTGCACTCAAGGGAAAGCTTTGGGTGCTTGTCAGCTGTTTAAGCAAATACTGATGAAATATGTCATGTGACCAGTACCAAAAATATCATGCAAAGAACAACCACCATTTCAGACTAAAGCTAACAGAGTTGTACCTTTCAGTAAATGGTTTTAAATCAATTAACTGTTTAAATTAGAATGGAGTATTCAAATTTACAGGATAAATTAGACCAGTTCCAACATTTACATCAAACCCATCCCAAACAAAAAGTTACACTTTTATTTTCCTTCTCATATGATGTGTGAATCTATAGAATAATACCCTGCCGGCAGGAAGAACATGTTGCTATTATTCAGCAAACCTGAGTAGTGAGAGTCAATAAATACAAGGAGAGAGTTAAAATGCTAGTAGTCAAATATCTTGAATCTCAAGTGACAGGGGCACAATTCAGATTTAATCCTGTCCTTTGAAATGATTTTGTAACATGTCGTGCCTGTGTTGAAGGTTTAAAAAGAGAAAATCCTGGCTAGAGAGAGAGGGGGAGAGAGAAAGAGAGAGAGAGAACACCAACATAACTCAGTCAACTGGATGCTGGAAGTCCAGTCATTACTGAACAGATCATTGTAAACAACCAGGATTGATCCTTTTTTTCTTCCCTTTTGAATGTTTTCTTGTCAAAGGCAAAATGCAGAAGAAATCTCAGGCTAAAGTCTTCATATTTGGTTGGAAGTGTTTTGTTGTCCCACTATATATATATATCTATATATCTATATTTATTTAATTAGGCACAAGAGGGGCTATTTAAACATTCAACAAGTCCTCATCACTATCATCGTGAAACGATAGGGTATTCGTAGAATTCTGTGTCTTCTGTTGGCCTGGGTTAGGTTTTGTTTTCCTTTCCTTTCCTCCATTCAGCAAGTTGGTCTTGGCATCACTTCCCAGGCTAAATGGCTTCTTTTGCTGGTGCCTGTTCTGGTCTGAGCCTCTGGATTGCACCCCTCTAGTTGAATGAATCCTCACATCTGGGACAGTTAGAACTTCATCCTCACTGTCCAGGTCATCCACCCGGAGAGATGTCAAGGCTTCTGATTTAACAGATGTGGTAGTGATGTGACCATTTTCTTGTCCTCCTTTTCCTAGTCTCTGATTTGGTGCTGCAATTTCCTCCATAAGCCACTCAGTTTCATTCTCATTAGCTTCTTCTTCAGTGTTTATCTACAGTATGAAGATGGCAAAGTTACTGAATATTGGATAGGCTCTCACAAGCACCCTTTATGGTCTCCCGAAATCCATTACCTGAGAACCACCAACAGCCCCATCCCGCACTCTGATTTACCATTTTCCACTGATAAGCAGATAGCACAAAATACGGTGTTAGTGCACTAATACTTTGATCTCTCTATGCTGCCTTTTACATTCTGAGCACTATTCCATGTTATTCTCATCTT